AAATAAATAAATTAATTAATTAAGTAATTAAAATACAAAGAAAACAGTAACAGCTGTTAAACGTCATATACTCACGATGATCTAACTATCAGACGGGACGATGAAATTGGACGTACTACACTTTTCTAAACAGAATATAGGCCTACTATATTATTTCTGTCTCTCTCTCACACACACACGCGCGCGCGCGCGCGCGCACACACACACACACACACACACACACACATACACACACACATGCGTGCCCGAACACACGTACACGGGATGAATACACTTGTTTGTTGTGAGGGTTGAGTAATTTTATTAACTCAATTCTTTTGTAAACCATCAGGACTTTGCTAACCGCAGTTCAACTAATAGTCTCGAGATTTATCATTTTTGCCAACTATTGCTTTAATCCGACTGGAACGCACCTGTCACTTTCATAAAAATAGTGACGCAGGAAGCGCGACCTAACAAATAACGCCAGATAAGATCAGACTAAGCACCTTATATTTCATTCTGGCTTACTAATCGGCCATCGTGTTTCGCAGTTTAAGAGCGAAAAGTGTGCTTAAAATGAAATTGAATCTGCTGCGGTGTGTTTCACTGGGGTCAGAGAGAGAGAGAGAGAGAGAGAGAGAGAGAGATCGGCTTTGAAGTGAAAGGATAAAGAGTAAAGCAGATGTACTTTCCCCGCTCCTGACTCGCACTAAATTCGTACTTGGCTGAACTGTCAGCTGCCCTATGCCAGGTGCCAGGTGCCAGTCCTGCATATTCCAGGTTGTCACGAGAGCAATAAACACACTGTCAATTGTCAAACTGTCCCCCCTAACTTGTCAAAATGACACCAGGTCAACAAGGCCGCATATCAAAACATCTACACTACGTAAAATACGCATGTTATATGTATAAGGTACTTGCTCCGCTGCGTCAACAACCAACATAAAAGAGGCTGTTATCCATAATGTACATTTTCAAATCTAATCCATTCTGATTCTGAGATGCAGCAGGATCGGATACAGATAACACCATTTTACACTTATTCTAAGTCTACTGTACTTAAAGAATACGCACGTGCACGCATGCACACACACACACAAACACACACACGTAAGTTTTATTTACATTCCCATTCCCTTATTCAGCGATATTCCCTCCAGACTGAACAACCCAACATCAAATCGATGTGATTCCCATGAAGTTTGCATTATTGATAACAAAAACAATTACAGCAGCGGCACAGTAAGTTGACAAAGAGCAAATGAACTGCGCCCCCCGCGACCTAACACTTAGCTTGGCACTTGACACTAAACAGCTTGAACCGAACACACGGCAACTGATACCCACCTCCTCTTGTTTGACACGGGCGACGCTAGGTCGATCCTCTGGGTCGCCGTCTCTTTGACTTTCGTGCGACACTGGCGTGCCGTTTCCATTCAAGGAATCTGTGCCGCTGTAAGTGGTTGACGCCTTGGCGGTCGTCCCAGTCATGAAGCGATACCTAGCGTGCGATAGAAGCCCTTCGAATGCGGAAAGACGCCGGGTTCAGTGCGCGTCGCACACCGGGGACTCGACGCGCTTGCTCCGCAAGACGTTGTCAAATCAGAGACAAACGCACCGAGGACTAGTCAATCGACCGAGCACAAGGCTTACGAGGCCTGGTCTGTTAGTTTGACGTGTGTGAAACATGCATCTTTTTCTCAGTGCCACGGTCGTAACGTAGAGTCAGGCAACGGCGCTGGAGTAGTGTGGCAAGACTATAGAAGATCTCGCTGAAATGGGAAATTACTATGCAATATTAATGTCGACGATAAAAGAGTCTCTGAATTCCAACCCATTTATCATGCTTATTTTTGTGTGTGTTGATATATGCCTTTGTAGCCGCGAACAATGGGCACAATGCAAGTTGCAGGATGCGCCGCTTTCTCCATTCTTTGCAGTGCAATTCGAACTGAATGGCGGTAGAGAATTACCACTCAACCAACCCTTTCATTTTTCCTTTCAATGCTGTTAAAAGCCCCACCGCAAATAATCAATTCACATTGAAAACGCAAGGAAATTTAAACTCGCCCTCAGCTTTGACGAACTTGTTTAGTTGAGAAGGAAAGTGAAGCTTTTTGTCAAGAATCACTGTGTCGAATCGACAGAACTCTCGGTTTAGAAAAAAAGATAGACGCTTGGGTGTATTCTGTTTGTGATATGAACTATGGCTCAGGTCTTTTAGAAGAACGCGCTCATCCGCGTTGTATAAGGCTTTACAAATGAAAGGACATTTTATTACCGCGCTTATCTTTTGTTATGTAGAATTAAGGGAATTAAAAAGCTCTCGAAGAATGACTGTGTGACATGAAATGCATCACAAAGGGCTTGTCGTGCGCTGGGGAAATTAGAGAGAAATTAGAAAAAAGAAGCACTGGGAATGCATCGCGGAGCTGATAAACCGTTGAGTTTTTCTTTTCATTCACAGTTATAAATAGTTGATGGACGACAGATATCAGGGATACGTTATTTATGGACATTGGCTTCGGAAAAGCATAATAAAAATATGAAAATAAAGACAAATAAATCAACAATTTAACATACAAACAAACACGGTTTTGGATAAGAAACCGATCAAACAAACAAACAAAAAGACGAAAGAAAGAATAAATAAGTAAATATATGATTAAACATATAAAGATACAAATACCTGAATGTTTTCGGGGTTTTTTTCAATGTGCTTTTTCATGTCGTATATTTTTCTTTCAAGTAAGATGTCTTTTTTATTTCTTTAATTGGTCTCTCTTTCTCTCTCTCTCACACACATACACACATGCGTGCGCAGGCGTTCGCGCACCCACATTTGGGCGTGCTATATGGAGCCAGTATTGGTGAATCTGAAGAGCAGTAGGCTTACTATGAGATAAAGAAAATGGTGTTTATGATGACGAATGTAAAACTGATTTTTTCTATGAATATCAACACTTTTTCTTTCGTCTCCAAGATCGACCACATGCAAAACCGTTGACAGTGTGCGATCTGTCTACCTTATTTTAAATCCAACTGAGCAAACCTCGAATAATATTTCAGACCGAGACAGGTGAATCATGTCACATTTTAGGGCTCTATAAGGCGTAAAGGATGCATAAGACCAGTAAAACAAGCCAAAGTGCTAACGTTTTAGCTTGAATATTGAACTCACATTGATTATAGATACAGACAGAAATGTCTCGGCACACCGCCTTACCGTACCCCAGGTTCTAGATTCCGGTATTGCCANGTTTAGGCGTGCTATATGGAACCAGTATTGGGGATTCTGAAGAGCAGTAGGCTTACTATGAGATAAAGAAAATGGTGTTTATGATGACGAATGTAAAACTGATTTTTTTCTAGGAATATCAACACTTTTCCTTTCGTCCCCAAGATCGACCATATCCAAAACCGTTGACAGTGTACGATCTTCCCACCTTATTTTAAATCCAACAAAGCAAACCTCGAGTAATATTTCAGACCGAGACAGGTGAATCATGTCAAATTTTAGGGCTCTATAAGGCGTAAAGGATGCATAAGACCAATAAAACAAGCCAAAGTGCTAACGTTTTAGCTTGAATATTGAACTCTCATTGATTATAGATACAGACAGAAATGTCTCGGCACACCGCCTTACCGTCATCTACAAAAAAAAAAAAAAAAAAAAAAAAATGAAGCAGATGAAATAATTCGACTTTTTCCACAGTAGTAGTCGATATATTGTCGTGAGGAACAAAGTGAGGCAATGACGAAAGGCTGTTAAAATTTTGGTAAATTTCAGAATTTGTTTTTCCATCAAAATTTCCCCGTCTTCAGGACTATCACCGCGGTTTTTCTTCTTTCCGGTGATATGGTTTGTCAAATGAATAACGCAAGGTCCAATCTTTTTTTTTTTAACTATGAAATTATTTTATTCTAGCGATGACTTTCTCTTCAGTATACACCAATGATAGTAATGGCTGCTGGAAGGTCAATGATACGTGTTGTAACCTCTTATGCTCAGAAACGTATGTAATCTATGCTGCGGTATCAACCCGCTCTCTTTTTATTATTTTTTAATTTTTATTATTATTATTACCAGATGGTACCCCCAAAATATTTGAAATATCCTCCAGTTTTAATTTCCCGAATCAAGTATGAGATAAAAATAAACATGAAACGCTCATCCCCCATCTTCTAAGCCTCGATCCTTTAGATATTAAGTTGATAAAAAAACATACACTCTTGTTTGTTGTCTGTTGCCGATGAAAACCGACCCCCCAACTTTCTCTAACGTATGTATAAATAAAATCACTGCGCAGGGAGATAATCCGTCTTTGCATTTTAGGGGCCATTCAGAATAGATGATCTGAGTACTAACTGATCCGTCGATTAAATATGGCCGACCACACTTCAAAAGCGATGCCGCTGATTCCCGATGGTCTCCCCACCTCCACACGCGCCATTAAACGGATTAAATCTCGGCTCCGGGGTTTAATTGCAAGGTCCTTTCAGTGACGGCGCGTGTGGAGGCGGGGAGACCATCATGGAATTAGCGGTATCGCTTTTGAACTGGGGTCCACCATATTTAGTCGGCGGATCATCTATTCGGAATGGCCCTTTATACACCGTGCTTCCAAACCCACGCAAGTCAGCCAAAATTATAAGATGGATGTTTGCATAGCACAAATAACAAGACTTGTCACTCAGTTTTTACACTGATAGTTATTTTATAGTTTATATTATAACATTTAATCACTATTCTCTTGTTTTAGAAATATTTACGAAATAAGTCAAATACATACAGTGTTTTGTCGAGTTTAGTATTTCATTCATCATTAGTACGGAAATAAATAAACTGTTTGAAATAAATAAAGAAATGTATTTCTATTAATATCCAAGAAACATACCTTTTTTGTAAGTGATATTCAATACAGAAAAAAAAGTTAGACGGTGTTGTGACCCAAGGAAGAGATCAAGGAAGAGATTTATAAAACTAAACAAAATGTGACTTATAACTAGAAAAAATATCACACTTGCTCTTCCTCTATATTTAAAGCTTCATCAATTTGCCGAGTTTTCTTTAACAGAGCAAGTTTCAACTTTTTCCAGAATTCTTCCTTTTTTCCGTCATTCTCCTCCTCCGGCCACTCCAAGTAGGTCACGTGACGTTTCATGAGCCGCAGCGTCTTGGGGAGTTGATCGGGTGGGATCTTCTCTAGAAACACCACAATGAGCGATTTACGCCTCTCGCGCAGTACCTTGGCCTGAGCAATGTCGACCTCGTAACGACACCAATCACTCTCAAGGAAATGCTGCGAGATGATCAATATCCCCACCTTGCTCGCCTCCATTTTCTCCACTATGCTATCTATGATGTAATCGCCCGGTAGGAAGTTCCTTGAATGGATACATACGTTAAAGACGATGTCCTGACCTTGGTCATTACCTTGTCCCTGATAATGACCTTGGGCAATGCGTCGTCCTTGACCTTGACCCTCCACGTGCGGGAGAAACTGCCGCACGACCCACTCCTCATCCCTGCTGCTGTGAGCGACAAATGCGTCATATTCGTACTGTACTTGCCCATCGCCGCAGCGGATATATCCGTGCCGCCGACGGTTAAGTCTTTTTAGATGCCACCAATATACAATGTCAAGTCGAAAGTAGGCCACAAGACCTGCCACTGCTCCAATCACCACAACACCGGCCCCGATACAACAGAAGACTACAGTGATCAGGTGGTTTCCGCATGTAATCCAAGGCGGGTTAAAGTCCTCCAGGGCGGTGTTTTGGTACTCGGCCGGCTCGCTACATTTCTGTCTTGCTCCATTTACGTATGTGGTTGTATGACGAAGCCACTTAGAAAACGAACTGGAATCGCAGCTACATACAAATCGATTGAGCTCAATATTGAGGTGGTGAAGTTGATTCATTCTTAATACAGCAGTTATATCGAAATTCACCAGTTTGTTTTTTCTAAGATTCAAAAAAACGAGCGAAGTCAGAGAATCAAACACGGCGCCGACGTTTTCCATGTTATTGTCCGACAAGTCCAAGTGTTGCAAGTGAGGCAAATTGGAGAACACGTTTTTTGGGAGTTTAGAGATACTATTCGAAGCTAAGATTAGTTTCCGTACTGGACACTGTGATTTAAAAATGTGAGGAAATATCTCATTTTTCATCATACAGAACAGAGAATTACCTGTAAGATCTATTTCACGAATAGTCGATAATCCTTCGAATACAGATGTATTCATGTGGTGTCTCAGTACACAAGCCTTGTTGTGCGTGTACTGCAATTTTACTAGTGACGTCATGTTTTGGACTATTAATAGATGAAGGCCCGGATGTGTGTAGGGATAAGGCAAAATTCCAAAGAGCCCATTTAAATACAACTCACGTAGGTTGGTCAGGAGCGTGAAGTTGAGATATCCATATAAGCGATTATACGACAGATCCAGTACTTTCAGATGCTGGTGAGGAGGAAAAATCACTGTGTTTACCGTCACGAACTCGTTGTGCCTGGCAACTAATTTTTGAAGTTTCGGGAAGCTGAGAGTTACTGATTTAAAAAGTTCTAAATCTGAGAAAAGGTTGATACTAATATCCAATTCCCTCAACGTCGACGACATTGTCTTGAAATTTCTTTGCATGGTGGCAATTTTACTCGAACTTAGATCCAATTTTTCAATAACCGGCAAAGATTGAAATACGTCTGAAGCGATTGCCGATATCCTGTTACCGCTGAGGCGAAGTTCGCGTACATTTGAATTAGAGAGGGGTCTCAAAACTGATGAATTTAGCTCAGAGATGTTTATTTGACAATAAGACAAATCGAGAGTTTCAATCTGCGTGTGCCTTAACCTCGTAAATATCACATCACCGATGCTGTTCTTCCCTATGCCGAATGAAACAAAGCGTTTGATTGGTCGGAAGGCTTCTGTGGCTATTTTTGAAATCTGATTCTCGCTGAGATCAACGGCAAGATAATGCACTGATTCGAAGGGAAGAAAATCCGAGTTTGTTATTTCGGTGACGTGATTTTCCCTCAGGTTTAAATCGAAATAGGTATTTGTCATGGTGGCATTGCTGACATCTTGGATTTGGAGTGAGTTTATCCTGTTGGATTGGAAGTTCGCCTCCTCCAGGTTTGGAAGTAACACAATGAATGACGGCAGAGTTTGGAGTAGATTATCTTTTAAAGATGCACGTTTCAGTTCATGAAGACCAAGAAGAGCGCCATATTCAACAGTTTTTATCAAACATCGATTCATTTCGAGTTCCTTAAGGTGTGGTAGTCCAATAAAAGTTTCATTTTTTAGTGTTCTAAATGTGCTGTCAGAAATCTCGAGGGTTGAAGTGTGTGGCGGTATCCCTGAGATATCAACTGGCCGTATGTTGGTACACCTGACGGCAAGTCTGCCGTTGACGTCACTAGAACAACTGCATTGCCTTGGACACGAACTACCAGTGGATAAAGTTTGCACGTTTGCAATAAATAAAGCTGCCAAAGGCAGAACTGTTTTTACAATTGCCATATTTCTAATCATGTAACGTCCGTGTTTCACTAGATTTAATCTTTTTATGGAAAGATGGAATTAGAAACAACGCACCCTTACTTCGTCCACTGACCTGTGTGGAGATAGCACTCGCCACTAACTGTTTCTATCCGCGACCTGGAATTGTATTTACTTAAGTTGTATCTCACGGAAGTGTGGAAAGTGATAGCGAAACAACATAGGATGATCATGAATCAGTGGAAATTCATGTAATTTTACATCCCTGGTTTCGATTCATCACCCACTACAGGGGCGGATTTAGGCCGTCTTCTGGGTCTTCCGGAAGACGGTCAGATTTTTCAAGTTTACATTGACGGGTATCCAATTTTTCCTGTTGGAAGACGGTCAAAATTGGAGGATGAATCAACAAAGATAATTTGGAAGACTGTCAGTAAATAGCTCTGGATCCGCCCCTGCACTGGTCTACCCACGACACTCATCAGCAGTCATAAGGAAGTACCGCAAATAAACAATACGTCAAACAATTGTATCATGTATACGACAGGAAACAAGGGANTGTGCTGTGATTGGTTAGTTGAGTCACGTGAAGCCCTACTGTTGCGCCCTCGCGTATCGCGTGAATGCTGCACATTTCTGGCCATGATTTCCCCAATCAAGTATGAGATAAAAATAAACATGAAACGCTCTTCCCCCATCTTCTAAGCCTCGATCCTTTAGATATTAAGTTGATAAAAAAACATACACTCTTGTTTGTTGTCTGTTGCCGATGTAAACCGACCCCTCAACTTAATCTAACGCATGTATAATTAAAATCACTATGATAGGACTACATTTTGTGGGAATTGTCATGTAGTGCGCAGGAAGATAATCCGTCTTTGCATTTTAGGGGCCATTCAGAATAGATAATTCGAGTAGCCTACTAACTGATCCGCCGACCAAATATGGCCGACCTCACTTCAAAAGCGATGCCGCTGATTCCCGATGGTCTCCCCGCCTCCACACGCGCCATTAAACGGATTAAATCTCGGCTCCGAGGTTTGACTGCTAGGCACCTGGGGCGACGGCGCGTGTGGAGGCGGGGAGACCATCATGGAATTAGCGGTATCACTTTTGAACTGGGGTCCGCCATATTTAGTCGGCGGATCATCTATTCGGAATGGCCCTTTATACACCGTGCTTCCAAACCCACGCAAGTCAGCCAAAATTATAAGATTGATGTTTGCATAGCACAAATAACAAGACTTGTCACTCAGTTTTTACACTGATAGTTATTTTATAGTTTATATGCAAACATTTAATCGCTATTCTCTTGTTTTAGAAATATTTACGAAAGAAGTCAAATACATACAGTGTTTTGTCGAGTTTAGTATTTCATTCATCATTAGTACGGAAATAAATAAACTGTTTGAAATAAATAAAGAAATGTATTTCTATTAATATCCAAGAAACATACCTTTTTTGTAAGTGATATTCAATACAGAAAAAAAAAGTTAGACGGTGTTATGATCCAAGGAAGAGATCAAGGAAGAGATTTATAAAACTAAACAAAATGTGATTTATATCTAGAAAAAATATCACACTTGCTCTTCCTCTATATTTAAAGCTTCATCAATTTGCCGAGTTTTCTTTAACAGAGCAAGTTTCAACTTTTTCCAGAATTCTTCCTTTTTTCCGTCATTCTCCTCCTCCGGCCACTCCAGGTAGGTCACGTGACGTTTCATGAGCCGCAGCGTCTTGGGGAGTTGATCGGGTGGGATCTTCTCTAGAAACACCACAATGAGCGATTTACGCCTCTCGCGCAGTACCTTGGCCTGAGCAATGTCGACCTCGTAACGACACCAATCACTCTCAAGGAAATGCTGCGAGATGATCAATATCCCCACCTTGCTCGCCTCCATTTTCTCCACTATACTATCTATGATGTAATCGCCCGGTAGGAAGTTCCTTGAATGGATACATACGTTAAAGACGATGTCCTGACCTTGGTCATTACCTTGTCCCTGATAATGACCTTGGGCAATGCGTCGTCCTTGACCTTGACCCTCCACGTGCGGGAGAAACTGCCGCACGACCCACTCCTCATCCCTGCTGCTGTGAGCGACAAATGCGTCATATTCGTACTGTACTTGCCCATCGCCGCAGCGGATATATCCGTGCCGCCGACGGTTAAGTCTTTTTAGATGACACCAATATACAATGTCAAGTCGAAAGTAGGCCACAAGACCTGCCACTGCTCCAATCACCACAACACCGGCCCCGATACAACAGAAGACTACAGTGATCAGGTGGTTTCCGCATGTAATCCAAGGCGGGTTAAAGTCCTCCAGGGCGGTGTTTTGGTACTCGGCCGGCTCGCTACATTTCTGTCTTGCTCCATATACGTATGTGGTTGTATGACGAAGCCACTTAGAAAACGAACTGGAATCGCAGCTACATACAAATCGATTGAGCTCAATATGGATGTGGTGAAGTTGATTCATTCGTAATACAGCAGTTATATCGAAATTCACCAGTTTGTTTTTTCTAAGATTCAAAGAAACGAGCGAAGTCAGAGAATCAAACACGGCGCCGACGTTTTCCATGTTATTGTCCGACAAGTCCAAGTGTTGCAAGTGAGGCAAATTGGAGAACACGTTTTTTGGGAGTTTGGAGATACTATTCGAAGCTAAGATTAGTTTCCGTACTGGACACTGTGATTTAAAAATGTGAGGAAATATCTCATTTTTCATCATACAGAACAGAAAATTACCTGTAAGATCTATTTCACGAATAGTCGATAATCCTTCGAATACAGATGTATTCATGTGGTGTCTCAGTACACAAGCCTTGTTGTGCGTGTACTGCAATTTTACTAGTGACGTCATGTTTTGGACTATTAATAGATGAAGGCCCGGATGTGTGTAAGGAGAAGGTAAACTTCCAAATAGCCCATTTAAATACAACTCACGTAAGTTGGTCAGGAGCGTGAAGTTGAGATATCCATATAAGCGATTATACGACAGATCCAATACTTTTAGATGCTGGTGAGGTGGAAAAATCACTGTGTTTACAGTTACGAACTCGTTGTGCCGGGCAACTAATTTTTGGAGTTTCGGGAAGCTGAGAGTCACTGCTTTAAAAAGTTCTAAATCTGAGAAAAGGTTGATACTCATATCCAATTCCCTCAGCGTCGACGACATTGTCTTGAAGCTTGTATGCATGGTGGCAATTTTACTCGAAGTTAGATCCAATTTTTCAATAACCGGCAAAGATTGAAATACGTCTGTAGCAATTGCCGATATCTTGTTACCCGTGAGGCAAAGTTCGCGTACATTTGAATTAGAGAGGGGTCTCAAAACTGATGAGTTTAGCTCGGAGATGTTTATTTGACAATAAGACAAGTCGAGCGTTTCAATCAGCGTGTGCCTTAACCTCGTAATTATCACATCCGTGATGTTGTTCTTCCCTATGCCGAATGAAACAAAGCGTTTGATTGGTCGGAAGGCTTCTGGAGCTATTTTTGAAATCTGATTCTCGCCGAGATCCACGGCAAGATTTTCCACTGATTCGAAGGGAAGAAAATCCGAGTTTGTTACTTCGGTGACGTGATTTTCCCTCAGGTTTAAATTGAAATAGGTATTTGTCATGGTGGCATTGCTGACATCTTGGATCTGGAGTGAGTTTATCCTGTTAGATTGGAAGTTCGCCTCCTCCAGGTTTGGAAGTAACACAATGAATGACGGCAGAGTTTGGAGTAGATTATCTTTTAAAGATGTACGTTTCAGTTTATGAAGACCAAAAAGAGCGCCATGTTCAACAGTTTTTATCAAACATCGATTCATTACCAGTTCCTTAAGGTGTGGAAGTCCAAGAAAAGTTCCATTTTTAAGTGTTCTAAATGTGCTGTCAGAAATCTCGAGGGTTGAAGTGTGTGACGGTATCCCTGAGATATCAACTGGCCGTATGTTGGTACACCTGACGGCAAGTCTGCCGTTGACGTCACTAGAACAACTGCATTGCCTTGGACACGAACTACCAGTGGATAAAGTTTGCACGTTTGCAATAAATAAAGCTGCCAAAGGCAGAACTGTTTTTACAATTGCCATATTTCTAATCATGTAACGTCCGTGTTTCACTACTACTCGATCTACGGTCTTGAAGAAAAAAATCAACAAAACCTTACAGCGTACTCATATAAGGAAAAACTCAGTGTCGTCTACGCAAAATATCTCCACTAGATTTAATCTTTTTATGGAAAGATGGAATTAGAAACAACGCACCCTTACTTCGTCCACTGACCTGTGTGGAGATAGCACTCGCCACTAAGTGTTTCTATCCGCGACCTAGAATTGTATTTACACAAGTTGTATCTCACGGAAGTGTGGAAAGTGATAGCGAAACAACATAGGGTCTTGAATCAGTGGAAATTCATGTAATTTTACATCCCTGGTTTCGATTCATCACCCACTAGTCTATCCACGGCACTCATCAGCAGTCAGAAGGAAGTACCGCAAATAAACAATACGTCAAACAATTGTATCATGTATACGACAGGAAACAAGGGATGGCCAAAAAAAAAAGATACCAACAAAAAGGATTCCAGAAAAAATAAAAAATGAATAGATAATAAATAAACAACAACAACAACAATAATAATAATAATAATAATAATAATAATAATAATAATAATGAGGAAAAAACCTAATGCCATGTTTTCATCTAATATAAGGGTTACATTGGCCTTGTATACTGGGTCATTTTTACCGAGAGTAATAAAGCAATAAATAAATAAATAAATAAATAAATAATTAAACAAATAAATAAATAAAATCCATGATAAATTAATTAAAAAAAATAGTATTGAAGAACACGACTTCGCCTGTTAAGTTCAGCTACGAAATGGGCCGGCATGACCATACTTAATAGGAGTATTGGGGTTAGTATGGGGACGAATGTCACATGTACAAAGTAATGGGGAACGGACTACGGTTCCTAGCGGACTACTATTCCTGTCACACCGGGAAGTGAGTTGTACTGAGTCAGCGTTTTATCAGTTATATCACTGCTAAGTGAAGTACGCCCACTTCACAAATTTGATAACAATTATAAGTTAAGGGATAACAACTGTTCATTTTGTCCAAAAAATGAAATTTTCTGGGTTAGACAACAATATTCCCATACTAACCAATGGTTAATGAATCCATTTCTACATTCAAAATAAGTCCGTTTTTTTTTTCTCTTAAAGCTTTTTTTTTTTTGTAATTACCTCTTAAGAGATTATTACAAAGTATAGCCATATGGAGGTCATATGGTTCGATAGCAAGTACAGATTTCAGAATAATTGGTTCAACTGCCGTTTTTGTGGTAAAATAGAATATATTATATTTCTAGGAGTTGTTTAAAATGTTTTTATTGTGAAATATAGGTCTCATATGAAGAGTTGTTATCCCTTTAAAACTAGTTTAAACCCTATGTATCATTAGACAACTGTGTATCACAAACCGTATGCGACTTCTGGTTTTTGCTCGAAAGGGGGGGGGGGTGTTGAGCGGTACAAGGAAAATGTAAAACACTAGACGAGGGCAGTTTTACTATCATAAGTAATGTAGGGCGCTGGGATTGAAAGATCCGTTAGCTCGTTACACTGTTTTGGTAGGAAAAAGGCGGAGAATTAAAAGTCAAGGAAGGGGCATGTACCGCTGCGAACCTCCTCCTCTTCCGATCAGCATTTGTGGGTTTAAGTGTATTTTAGCATTTTTTCTTGTTTTCTTCTTTCAGCGTCTTCTTACAGATACGGTACATAGAAAAGATGCCAAGAACGCGCTCAAACCCTTTCAAAGGACCATTTGGCGTCAATATTTGGCATATATGCTTTGTAAGTCTTTGTTTGAGGGATGTTACCCTTTTACTTGAATTATCTTCCCTTCCATATCAGTATTATGGATTTTTCAGTTAAAAAAATATTGTACAGGAAACGATGACATTTCTAAAAATCACAATAAATATGTTTAATCCGTCATAAAGCAATAGCACCATCTGAAAACGCACCGAGAAGAGAAATTTAAAACTGTTAAGGACAAAAGAAAAACAGTTCATATTCAAAACGGGTTATGGAAATACAATCTATAAATTCATTTTTCAGTTGTTAATTCTTGGGTCTTTACTTTTTGTTTTGACCCAATAATTTATTTGGTTTTATTCTTTGGTATGTTATACTTGAATTAATTTGAGTTGTAAAAGAAACTTGCACAGAAGTAGTTTCACTTCATAAATACCTTGAGATACAGTAGAGCCTAGTAAATAGCACTCGTGATTATAAAACTTAAAATTTGATACTCAAAGATAGGTTTTAAATTGCAATTTACCAATGCTTTTGGATAAGGGAAATGCATACCATGATGATAAAAAGAGAACTGTTATAATGTCCAGAATTTTTTTGTCTTTTTTAAATATTTAATATGCATTATATGCCTTTAAAATCAAGATCTACTTTCCATAACTACCGCCAAGATCACGTCTATTCAGACTCCAAACGCTAGCACCAATCACTAAACCACTGAGGACAGTTAGGCCTAAGAGTACACCAGAAGCTATAACTGCAGTGTACAATATCACATACACCAAGTCCCAGGTCAGCAGTGTACTCCAGCCGTGGTTATCTACAGTGGTCACTTCAGTACATTGGTCAAGACTGACCTTGACCCTGTCCTCCCAAGATACTCTAGCCACCACACAGATTAAATAAACAGCACCAGGGCTCAGCTTCTTGATAGAGTAGTCATGAACTTCTGGACTAACCTGTATGCTCGCTCGGTTATTTCGGTTACCTACAGGGTGATAGAGAAGTTCATATCCTATAATATCAATACACCCAAGACAGACCCATTTGATATACACAGATCCATCTTCTTCAGTCTTTACAGTACGAATAGTCACATCTGAAAGTACAGCTGACCTTTTGACCTCATTGACCTCTTGATGACCCTTGACCTCTTCATTACTGTTGGCCTCATTTTGATTGCTGACCCTGTCTTGACCCATTTCTGTAGCACAGCTGAACACCTCATCTCCTAAGACCTCCCATGACTCTCCCTCCAGTTCTCTGGGGGTCATGCAAGTAGGGTAGAAATCAGTCGAATTCACCCCGTCCAGAAACTTGAGTAAGTATTCTCGCGTGTCGAACAACTCCTTCAACCACAGCATTTTACAGTCACAATGCAGTGGGTTGTGAGACAGAAGAAAGACTTCTATGGGGTAAAGGATGCTCTTGGAGATATCTTCTTGGACCTGGACGATGTTGTTATGGGTAAGATCTAACCATTCCAACATGGGGAGTCCTCTGGGTATCTCTGTTAGATTATTGTGGCTCAGATACAGATACTGAAGGCTGTGTAAGACTTTAAAGGATTTGCTACCAATGGCTGATATGGCATTTGCTCTTAAATCTAACACTTGCAACATGTGAAGTCCTTGGAGTGCCTTATCTTTTAAAACTTCAAGTTTGTTTCCTGCAAGGGATAAATGTCTCAAGGAAGAAAGTTTTAAAAATACTTTTTCTTCTACAAGATTTATCTTGTTATTGTCCAGGTGAAGTCTCCTCAGGTCTGGTAGGAAAGTGCTGCCCTCTTTTGAATGAAAAGTGGAACCAGACAGGCTGAGGATGGAGTTATTTCTCAGTGACAGCTCCTGTAGTTGCTGCAGATATCTGAAATGTTTTCCTGTCAACTTTTCTATTACATTGAAACCCAAGTTTAAAGATGTGAGAGACGCAGGGAGTCCATCTGGAAATACACTAAGGTTATTATGGGATAGATCTAGGGTTTCCAAGTGTCCATTATTGCACAGCTCAAATACATTCTTCGCCACAAAGCTGATTGCATTGTTGTTGAGGTAGAGTTTCCTCAGTTTGAGGACTGCATCACAGGGAAGGGGACCCAAAGTCTCAATTGAGTTGTGATCTAAGTGGATCTCCACAGCATTCACAGGGAACATTTGTGGCACTTGCTCCAAACCCCTGTGACTGCAGTTGACAAGGAGGCCGTTGCTTAGAGCCGGGGTGTAGCAGAGACAGGTCTCAGGACAGTTGGCTGTTATGTCCTCAGAATCCGTATGCTCTTTGATACACAGTATGAGCAGCCCAGACAGGAGGATGTGGAAAGTATCCCATGCTGCCTTCACAGCCATTGGGACCAATGTGAAGGAAGACTAGTTGATCACCTTTGTAATTTACCTAAAAGACAAGAAACAAAATATAAGTAACAAAGTAAAGCATTTCTTAAAGTTACATATTTAAATAAAAGTCAAATCCTTGCAATTAAACCTAACCAAATGCCACCATTAAGTTTCAAATTGCATAACTGAAATAATTCCAATGGATATCGTCTCATATAAGTACCTTCACAGAAATGTTACTTGAACATGTTTTCCACTATCTTTCTGTGCAATGAGCCTTGGTCATGCAAACCAACCGTTATTTAAATATTCAAGCTACATGTATGTTGCACATACAATCACATCATACAAGATAAGATAAGATAATAAGATAAGAGTTTATTCTGCCATTAATATACAGATTAAAATGCAAGGACATTGGATTGCTATTCAGGTAAAATGTATAAAGTTAAAGGTAACAATAAAGTTGCTAAAAACATAGTTGCCAAAAATTCTATTTTTGTTGTTGAAATGAGAGACAGCAGATGGGTAACAGCTCTTTAAAAATCTTTTGGATCCTTTTAAAATTAAAAGTATACTCAATAAGAAATTAAAAAAATTTTTTAGGGTGGGTACAGTCAGAGATGATATTTCCTGGTTTTTGCTTGTAATCTTTCTGTGTAATCGACACTAACAGAGCGGAGATCCCACCCTGAGCTTCTGAGATAACTTTACACTAACCTCTTCATGATGAAGATAGGCTAAAGTGAAGAGGTTAGTGTCAAGTTATCTCTGAAGCTCAGGGTGGGAGATCCAGACCAGAGAGATCAGTATGTGCTAGTACTTTCATTACTGTGTTATTTGGAGGACTTTTACTAACTGGGAGATGGATAAATAGGTCAAGTTTACAGCCAGAAATATGAAGAAAGTGTAGTTTTATTATTATTATTATTATTATTATTATTATTATTATTATTATTATTATTATTATTATTTTAAATTAATTTTTCTTTCTTTCTTTCTTTCTTTATTTATTTTTGTTTTGACCCAATGATTTATTTGGTTTTATTCTTTGGTATGTTATACTTGAATTAATTTGAGTTGTAAAAGAAACTTGCACAGAAGTAGTTTCAATTCATAAATACCTTGATCAAGTGTAAGACTTCACATGATAGAAGAACAACAAGTATTAAATTATCTCTGTACAAAGCAATTGGTTTTTCCTGTCGATTCAGTGCACATCTTAAATGAACAAAAATTTCCTGCACCAACCTTTAAATGCGGTAGGGAACTCACGTTTTGTTCATGACAGTTGAATTCTCAATTTCACTTCCAGTCTTAGTACGTGTCGCATAACATGTTCCATGTTGGGAATATATTAATTCTAAATGGCCATTATCAGTTTTCAGGTCACAGTTTCCCAAAGTTGTTTTTAAACTAGAAGATATTGCAAAATAGTCTTTTGAGCACAAGAACCATGGTGTATACATAAAATTGCAAGATATTTAACATGCAAGAGTTAAATCTTTAAAAAGAAGAGAAACGGTGCGTTTTACCTACATAAATTGCTCCCTGTTGGCAAGCTTCCGTGTTAATAAGCGTGCTTTACGGGCGCAGACATATTTAATCCGGGTCCCGTGACCCAAATATTTTTGTTATTATGGGATGCATTTATTTATTTCCAAATATTATGCATGTGCAACCATTTTGCAACTAATAGCAAAACATCAACGTATACTGATGGTCATATAAATGAAAGGCAACCATCATTCCTTGCATAAACACAGAGAATAAGCAAAAAATTCGAAAAAATGATGAATAGTCAGGAGCAGCCACTGTCAATCACCATTGCATTCGCCAACTAATTTCTTGTTGATGAAAGTAACGTGGTATTGTTTGGGTCGGTATCATATAAACAGATGTTATTTGCTTATGTCGTAGAATTAAAAGTTATGCTTGAAGAATCACTGCAAAATATATATATGAGCGTACAAACAAAACGATTGCTCCCCTTAAAACTGACCAATCAGCGTTCAATGGCGGCAGTGGTCACGTGGCTTAGTATGTACTGCCGTGAAGCAGTGCATAAAAGGCGAACGACTGGAAGACAAGGGAAATATATTCGGCCGTCCAAGGCCAGTCAGAGTCTTAGGTTACTCAAATTTGGTACCAAATGATTCTTTAGAACCTCATCTAAAGAATGACAATCATCCTTTTTCTCATCGACACTAGTGGGTCGATGAATCAACGCACGTATTTGGGGACCACATTGCTAGATGTAACAAAGGGGGCAGTGGAAAATTTTATGAAGGTACGCGTTTTAAATAGAAAACAAGACCGATTTCACTCCCTTAATAGATAGACGAGAGTTAAAAGCTTATGTTCCTTTTCTTTCACAGATTAGATCGCGAGACCCAGCCTGCAGGGGCGACCGATACATGCTGTTGACCTTCGAAGACCCGCCAGCCAACGTCAAGGTACCAATTTATTTCAATAATCTTCCTTTAGAACGGGGTTATCGACGTAAAGCCGGCGTGGTCTTGTCAAAGCCATATCCGTGAAAGTATTCCATATAAAGTGGACACAATTGGCTTCATATTATCATTGAAATTTGAGGTTTTCGACAGCAGATTGTCCCCGCCGCTTGTCGACGCCATTTTCCACGATGGCTTGTAGGGGATTGTGGGAAATGTTGGCTAATGAATATTCATGACGTCAATCAGTTTCCTGGCCAGTGGCAAGCGTTTCGTTTTTTTAAGTTGACTAAATGTGACAAATGTGTTTAATATATTTTTTATTTAATGCTAAATAATTTATAAAATAAATAAATGTATTGTTATCAGTTGTTTTTTCTTGGACCATTGAAGTTGAAAGCTGCATTAATTATTTTAACATAAAAATGTTATTATTATTTTTAACTTTAAATATTATTATTAGAGTTATGTTACTTTTTCATCCACATGATGTTATATGTACAGGATACGAAATAGAAAGCACCTTGAGAACATGTTCCGTATATTGATTATTGACCATTTTCTTTTATGGTGCACACAATATACAGCCATTCAGTGACATACATATATATATATGCATTTACATGTCAAGATTGATTCATTACAATTACACAACAGGCAGGATGGAAAGAAAGCCATGCCACTTTTATTCATGAGTTGAAGAATTTGGAAGCCTTTGGCCTCACATCTATGGGGACATCACTCAAGTATGCATTTGACTTGCTTAATGTGAACAGGATACAGTCTGGGGTGGACAACTACGGACAGGTCAGTGTCACTTTTAACCATTTTTACACATAAAAAGACTTAAAGTGAATGTTGCAGTTAAAGAACAGAAAATAACCAATATATTTTACTGTTTTTCTTTTATTTTTATGTTATATATCTTGATTTCAGGGAAGATGTCCATTTTTTATGGAACCTGCTGTGATAATCTGCTTTACTGATGGAAAGAAGTTGACCAGTTCTATAGGAGCCCAGACTGAGGTATGGGACTCGCTCTCTGGCTGAATACACCTCTGACCCAAATCATACTTTAAAAACTATATTGATGATTATTTTAACTAGAAATCAGTGAAATATTTTTATATTTTCCTAAGCCAAATTAAAACATATATATAGCATTTGGATAAAATTGGCTTTTGTATATAATCACACCCCAGACTGAAAGTTTAGGCCATTTTGTATGAATTATGTATCGATTTAAAAAGAAGCATTTGCAAGTGAGAATTAAGTGGAGCACAGCGACTATAATTATTAATTATATCTATTTACAATGTAGATTACAAAACCATTAAATATCAGGTGCAAATAAAAGATCCCAGTAAATATTTTGTAGTATCCAACTCAGATAAGTTAAAATAATAATATATTATTATTTTTATTATTATCATGTGGATTTCTCTCCTGCTCATGATTCTAGTTGAATCTCCCTATGAATAACTTGGTGCCAGGAAGCGAGCTGACGAGGGAGCCTTTTCGCTGGGATCAGCGCCTCTATGGTATCGTACTTCGTATGCCAGCCACACCTCCCCCAGAGAGTGCGCTGCAGGGCTTGTCGTACATTCATTCTGCGGAGGACTCCCTCATTGATGAGATGTGTGAAGTGACAGGGGGTAAGTTTGGGGGTAGGAGGATACGGTAGATTTTTTTTCTTCTTTTTTTTTTTCAACTTGGAGGGGATAGACTGAAGTATTTTGAGAAGTTAATTTAATCTGCTGCACATCTAGAAAGTAATAGTTTGTTAGAATGAAGCCCAAAAATATTTTAATGGTTTCGATTTTTAATCATATGCATGTGAATGATTTGGTATTTTGAATTATTGACTGAATTTTTTTCATCCAGGTTAGTGATTTTTTGAATCTTATATATTTTTTTTTTCATTAAATTCATATTTATTTTCAGGTCGTTCTTACTGTATCTCCAATCACCGTATGTTGGTCCAGTGCCTGGAGTCTGTCGTTCAGAAAGTGCAGCCAGGAGTTGTGATAAATTTTGAGAAGATTGGCGCAGACCCAAGTCCTGTGAATACAGAGGGTAACAATCTGATTATCTTCAGAATAGGTTGGAGAATTACCTCTGTGACAATATTTTTATGAATTTTATTAAATCGGTGCATAATTTTGAGTAAGCCATATCGAAATATAGAACTGTCTCTGTGATGGAGCTAGAAACTTTTGTTGTCTATTTATGGTTTGGTACATTTGATGACATTTTTGGTTTAGCTGAGACTAGTTGTTAAGAACAAAACTTCTTCAAAGATGCTTTTCAATTTTTCAGCAAAATTAGAAAATGGTCAGGATGCAACAAAAGGTAAATGGTTCATTTGCTTAATTCTTGACATCTGATCTCTTTGAATCACTTGTGCTTTTGACCCATCCCCATATTGAGTGAAACACAGAAATCTATTGTAATACTTGCTACAAGCATGGTATATTGAGGAAAGTGTTCGGATTCTGATTCTCACTCCAATAGTGAATTCTTTATCTCATCCTTGCAACTGGAAAATCATTTTTCAACCCTGAATTTCGTAACTTTAAATAAACCAAACCCATTTCATTTTTGAGAAGGGGAAGAAATATTTAATCTGAAAGTACAGAATAGGAGAGCCACATTTTTACATATAAATTTCTTTCTCCATGTAGAAAATCTGGACAGCAATATGCTTGACGTGCGCAACCCAGTACCAGAAGAAAAGCGACGTTCCCAGACCCCCACCAACGCTAACAATGCCTGGCAGAACTGCCGCAGGCTGATCTATGTCCACAGGTCCGCACAAAAAGGATATATGATTGGTCATTGGCCCATTCCAGAGAACTTTTGGCCGGACCTGAACAGTCCCACCTTGGTAAGTGTAATCAGTTGAAATCTGACAGGCATTCAAAAGATCCTTGAAAGTTTGGTTATTTCTAGCTTATTAGTCCACTTTTTTCAGCAAAAAAAAAAATGGCACTGGTTTTGTAATGCACTCAAAATTGATACTGAAGATGTTTTTTCAAACACCAGCTAAATTCTTGCTGAACACTGAAATAAAGGAAACCTTTTAACAGGAGCTGCATCCACTCAGCATTAGTTTGAAGAAACTATGAAAAATGTTGACTATTCCCAAATATAAGTTTTTAAAAATTTTTTTGTTTCAGACCCCACGGTCAGCCCACCCTAATGTGAAGTTTTCCTGTACCCCCTGTGATCCTATGGCTGTCGAGAATTTCCCCTTTGATAAATACGAGTTGGAACCGTCCCCTCTGACACAGTACATCCTGGAGAGGAGACAGCCAAATGCTTGCTGGCAGGTAAAATATGAATGATATATTAATGTTTAAAAAATAAAAATGTGAATAATTATAATTTATAATAAATCAGTCATTATAAACTACACACATAGTGTTGTTAAATGATCTGTCTGTCATTCCTCTAGTATCATAACAGTTAAAAAAAGGTACTACTAAATGAATTTATTAATGTGTGCCCCACTGAAAATACATACTAAAATCTGTCACCAGCACAAAAAAGATTTAATTTGTTTTTATATAGTTGTTATTCCATTATGTTTCAATGCCCTCATTTCTCCTGTAGTTAAATGTAGATTTATTTACTTTTGTCTCTTTTTGTTTGAATAAATCATTGAAAATAACACTTCAATGTCCTAATTGTCCCTGTTATACATTGCAGGTGTTTGTAAGCAATAGTGCCAAATACAGCGACATTGGTCATCCGTTTGGCTATCTAAAGCCCAGTAGTAATCTCACCATGGTCAATCTGATAGTGATGCCATACAACTACCCAGTGTTGCTGCCTCTACTTGGTAAGTGAGCAGCTGTTGTGTGCTTTCATGCATAATGCATATGTCTGTTAGTGTGAGAGAGAGAGAGAGGTTGATAGTACGAATTATGTTAATTTGTGGAAATGCATGTTTACGCTGCAATTGATCTAGAAAGGATTCCACAGAATTTTTCTTTCAGTTAAAAAGGGTAATTTAGTGTTTGGTTTAAAAAAATGAAAAGATAACATTTCAAAATCTGTACTTCTTTCTTAATAGTGAATTTTCAGTGTGGTGGAGTAAGTTTTATCAAATTTGACAGAGAAATTTTAATAATACCTGGTATGCAAGGTTTTAGTATTTTTACGTCCTTGTTATGTGATGTTTTCCTGCAGAAGATCTATTCAAAGTCCACAAACTGAAACCTAACCAAAGATGGCGGCAGCAGTTTGACAACTATCTCAAAACCATGCCAGTGTACTATGCAGGGGTAAGTGGTGGCATTTTCAGAGTGTTCGGGAATGTTTACTTCCTACCCCCCCCCCCCCCCCCTCTTGTCTTTTCAACTGCTGTCCTCTCTTCAGTAAAAGCTGTATCCAAAGTTAAAAAATGGGCAGTCTAAATTTGGGGAAAGATTTAATAACTATGTGATGTCTAGCCAGGAAACAAGAGACATTTTATCTGTAGTAGACTTTCTTGTGCCAAATCCATTATCATTTCTTGCCTTTTCTTGGAACTGTATTGCCGATTGATTAGAATCTCTGTAAATCCAGACAGTCTGGCATTGTGTGGCAACTGAAATGCATTACTAGCTTATGTCATTTATTTTTAGAACTTTGCAAAAACAAAGTGATTTGATTATTATTTTTTTTACAAGGAAACGACTTTCAGATAAGGTCTGTTTATTTTAGAAACTTGTACATTGCCATGAAGTTTTTCAATTATTTATTTTGACACTACAATAAAATTAGTTGGAAATACCTCAGTTAATCGACAATTTTATATTTTTATTTAAAAGTTTTAGTTGTATGTGGTTAGGGTGTTCAGTAATGTTCAAACTTTATGATAGCAAATTTAAATCAATCAAATATATCCCTTATTCTAGGCAAAACTTTTTTCATCTAAATTAGTAGTTATTTGTCAACACTTGTCTCAAAAAAATAAAAAATGAGATAAAATAGCAGCCCTCATTTGTATATTATAGCCACTGCGGAGAGCTCTTAGTCGTATGGGTGTTCCCAACCTCGTACCCGAGAACATGGAAAACTGTCTTAGCTACAGCGTCATTTCCTACCTCAAGAAACTGAAGAACCAGGCCAAGCAGGATTACGACCGTCTGGTAGCCTCTGTTGGACAGAAAATACCTCTGCATGAAGGAATCAAAGTACAGTCAAGGTGAGGCTTGGGATAAAATTAATAGATTGCTAATTTTAAAATAATTTTATTTCATTAAAAGAGTGCTTGCAGCCAAAGGTTAAAACTAGAGGCAGATTTCATTTTTACTGTTAGATATTCAGCATTCTGTGTGATTGTCATTAGATTTTAAAATATGATTGAGGAAAAGATGATAGAAAACCATGATTAAGTTTTGCTTTCAAAAGTTGAAATAAGATTATAATTATTAAATCAAGTATTGCGTTTTTCTTTACTATTATGGTTCCAGGTTGAAAGCAAACGCTCACACTTCTGAATCAATTATTGTCAAATAAGCAGACCAAACTGTTATTCTGTATTATTATTAAGATCATATTTTAATCAGTGGAATTAACTTATTGTGCTCTACTCACTAGGTCCCAGACGTCACTTTTAGAGCGGAAGGACCTGCAGCAGTTAATGCAACATTACGGGGGCTCTATCTCAGTGCTGAAGGAACAGCTCAGTGAATACAGTGGCTTCAGTCTGGGTGTTCCTGATAGAGATATTCAACCACAGATGTATAGGTATGCTGGCCTGCCTGCTCTACTTCTTACATAGAATAAAAAATTTGCATTTACAAAATGTTTTTGAGAAAAAGAGGGTCTTAGAATTGAAGGCAATATATATTTTTTCAACTGGAAGCTTGACTTTTTCTTTAATTCCATATACTTTAGATTAAACCTATTATATCATGTAAAAATAATAGATAAATGATCAATAAAGAATTAATAGATAAATAAATATGTAAATCAGTATTTAAAAATGGCCACATTTATTAAGTGTCCATTAATTCATCCTCTTATTTATTCTTTTCTCTCATCAAAGTGCATGTCTAATGACCTGTCTCTCTTTCTCACTCTCTCACATCATTATCAAAAAATTCAACCACAAGTCTGTTTACAGTATTTGCCAATAACCCCAAAGCCACAGCTCTTGTGCCTAAAAAGTGACAATGAGCCGTCCATGTTTGGGGAAAGATTGAAACCAGTCTGGGCAGGAAGCAAGACTGTTCTATACTTTGACTTTCTTGTGCCAAAACCCCGGATACAAATTCAGTCAAGAAAATAACATATCATGTATGCATGAGAAAATTTCATAGTAAAGCCTAATTTTGCTGTTAATATATTCATTTGATATTGTCAGTCTGATAATCAATATAATAATTCAACACCAGTTGTATGTTTTCAGCCAGAGAATTTGATAATTTTTTGTATGCAGACACAGTATTTATATAAAGTTTACATTTAATAAAAGATAAAATGTCATTTCAGGAATCCTTTTGACATACCAAGGACAGATCTTCTCGATCAAATATCCCGGATGCGTGCCAATTATTTACAGCCCTCACCAACAGGCACCCGCCTCGTGGATGACGGTAAGTACCAACAGCAGAATTGATACTTTGCCCTAAAAATGTTTTGTTACTTATACTGGTGGTTAGAGATTTTTGATTTTTTTAAAATTTTATTAGGTGCATGAAATGTTCATATTACTTAACATGATCAGTGAATCACCCCATCCCTGTAACTTGTGAATGCAGCTTTTTATTCTTCGTCCTTCTTGAAATGAAGTCATTATCTTTAGACCCCATTCCCAGAGATTAGATTGATCTACTTTAGATCGACCTAACTACCTGGGGGTTCACGCTAAATAGCTGTCAGCCGAGCGGGCACAAAAGTTAATTACCCCCTTACAGCTTGTAGTAGGCGGGACGGACATTTAAGCAGGATTATCTGACAGTAATCTAGTGAGACTCCCTGTGGGGATAGATCGATCTAAAAGCTCTGGGAATACGCCCTTAGTGATTCCTGATTTTCAGGATTTTCGATTTGCTCTAACAGTGAGACATGAATGAAGTTTTATTTACTGTGAATTGAGGATTTTATTTCTCCTTAACTGTAATCACTGCATGC